ACCACAAAGTCAAAGCTTCATTTTCAGAATCAGAATCTGATGAACAGAGACTTTGGGCAATTCTCCACATTCTAATGTCCAGGACCAGATTAAGACAATTAGGGGCTGAAACACTAAATATATATATATATATATAGTGCCCCCTCATTACATAATGCAAAATAAAAGCAACAGTAAACTGTGAAATAAAAGTTTAAAATAAAAACAACGAAGATTTATTGCAACTCATGACAGAATCTGATCTCCCCACATTAATTTGATCTACGTTAGTAGGACACATGCAGGTGTGTGGGAATAAATATTAGAAACAGAATAGAAAAATTGGGGAAGAGTGTATAGTGGAGTGTAAGGAAGTTGAACAAAGTTCTTATCATTTTTAATCTTTTTTTCAGTGCCCCTGCTTTGCTGGTGCCCTAAGCATGATGTACTTAGTCTGCCTATTGGGCAATCCAGCACTGCTAATTGTGGAGTTGGTCTGGGTTCATTGATGCCTTTTCCCTTGGGGTGCAGGAGGTGATGGCAGGGGCGGAGGAAGGGGGGTGTGGTGGGGGTGGGCCGCCGAGGGGATCACCACTGATGGGGGTGGCAAAATGCCGGGCAGCACTCACCGCGGGCCCTGCAGCACGCCCGAGCCATGTGTCTCTCCTGGGAGTGACACGGTGGCTTGGGCGCCCTCAGGCTCCGTGCTGCCCCAAATGGTCTGTCCACCACCTCCCCCTTAGCTGTAGGGCGGCTGAGTGGGAGGAGGCAGGCAGACTCCTTGGAGGCCCCACGGAGTGTCCTGCCCCAGCTCCCCCCTCCACAGCTGGCCCTGCCCCAGCATGCATGTGCCCTCGCCCCTAGGTGCAGGGCACACACGCCACCCCAGATGCCCAATCGGCTTGCTCCACCGCTGGGTGATGGTTCAGAGTCCTGAGCCACAGGGGTATCCCAGGCACGTGGCAAATGGTATCTGTCCAAGCCCTTCACTTTGGCGGGATCAGAGGCTATGTACATGTTAGCAGCTAGAAATGTGTCCCCCCACCCTACCCAGCTGGTTGCATTACAAATTGCTTTCTCGCATTGCAAGTGTTCCTTCGCTCTATTTGTGTTCTTTGATTTATCTTTCTGTGATGAACTCCAGCTCACTAAAACTGTCATCCACACGTGAGCAACGGCTGCCTGAAAAGCCTCTCACACACATCTCGGCTTAACCATGGCTTCTGCTTCGTAATCAGATAGAAACTGGTTTGAGTGTCGGATGGAAATTCCCAGGTGTCAAAAAAGGCTATTTATGTATGCCACAAAGGCGGCCCATGTTTTGTTAGCTCCAAAATGGAAAACGAGCGAGGTCCCAACCAAAGGAGAATGGCAACTTAAACCGATGGAATATGCACAGCTTGCAGATCTAACATATAGAATAAGAGAACAAGAAGAACATTCTTTTAAAGAAGATTGGAAAATTGTTTACTGAATATATGGGGGGAAATTGTGTACGCTTGAAAATGTTGTCAGCATGGAGATAAATTCAACAGTGTAAATAAGTTTTGATGGAAGTAATACAGTGGACGCTCGGGTTGAGAACGTGATCTGTGTGGGATGCACATTCGCAACCTGCAGCGTTCGCAACCCGCAGTGGCACTTCTGCGCACGCATGGGTTGTGATTCAACGCTTTTGGGTTTCGGCGGTCCGCAACCTGAAAAATACAACCTGAAGCATCTGTAACCCAAGGTATGACTGTACTGAAATTCTGAATAGTTTAGTTTATATAAAATATGCAAGGATTTATGCTATGTAAAATGAACCATGGAGAGAGAAGAAGGGAAGTCAGTGATATTTTAAGGTTGTATAAATGAATATTCTAAATTGTAAAACAGAAAATTGAATAAAAATTATATATATAAAAAGAAAGAAACTGGTTTGAGGGAAGGCACATCAAACAGGGCAAAGCCAGAGGCAAAAGTGGGCAGTGGGCACAGCAATGGGCGTGACTTCCACCTTTGCAGAGGAGCCTAAATTCCAGCCATGCAAAAGCCCAAAGTTTCTTTATACATGTGCATCTCTCAGTCTTCATCCCGGGAAGCAATTGAGGGGCACATTCCTGCCAGGCTAAAGAACCGAAGGAGGACATTGAGCAGGACTAGTGAAGAATGTAGTGCAGGGAGAGCAGGCATAGTCTTGAGAGAGTCCCAGGGACTGGATTGAAGGGCCTGGGGGCTGCTTGCAGTTCCTGGCCCTGTGTTTCGCCAGACCTGGCAAGAGGCTCAGCCAGGCCTCCAACACACCTCTTTGTTTTTGTTTTTTAAAATGATATTTATTAAAGGTTTAATAGTTACAGAAAAAAGAAAACAGAAACAATAAAAAGTTAAACAAAACAAAACAATACCTTACATCAAAAATGAAAAGAAAAACACAAAACAATACAGCAAAACTACAAAAAAACAAAAAACAAAAACATTTAAAAACACATCCAATATTTCCGTATCTTTATCTTTCATTTACTTGTTTCATCGACCTCCTCGCACCTCCCTTTTGTGTATTCTAGTTCAATTATTTATTTCAGCAAATCCTTTCCATCTTTCTCAATTTTTGTTCTATAATTTATCTTAACACAATCGGACCTTAAATTTTACACTTTGGCCCATTATCAATCTATTTTTACTTAATTCTTTATAACATTTCTGCTAAAACCATATAACTTCATTCCAGCATCCTTCTAACATTCATTAATTTTACTATATTTCTGTAAATATACTTTAATTTTTTTTTTCAATCTTCTTCCACCGACTCTTCTCCCTGGTCTCGGATTCTGCCAGTCATTTCTGCCAATTCCATGTAGTCCATCAGCTTCATCTGCCATTCTTCCCAGGTGGGTAGATCTTGTGTCTTCCAGTGCTTTGCAATGAGTATTCTTGCTGCTGTTGTAGCATACATCCAACACACCTCTTTGCCCTGGTCTTTGACACTTGAGATGTGTGCTTTCTGGATCCACCCAAATTCATGTGACTGTCATTTGTTTCAACTGTTTTTGATACTGTATTTTAAATTGTTGTAACCTCAAGTACAAATACCTGCTGGAAATGTAAAGAAAAAGAAGGTACCTTTTACAATATGTGGTGGTCGTGTATGGTAATAAAAGCTTTCTGGGAAATGATATATAATGAATTGGAAAAAAAATGTTTAAAATAACTTTTGTAAAAAAAGCAGCTTTTTTATTAGGAATTGTAGGTGCCAACATCCCAGAGGAGAGGAAAGGCTTTTTATGTATATGACAACAGCTACACGGATTCTACTAGTCCAGAGATGGAAAGAAGAAAGAGTCTCTACCAGAGGGGAATGGCAAAACAAGCTGTTGCGTTACGCTGAAATGGCAAAACTGACCGGAATGCTCAGGAACCAAGAAGAAAAAAACTTCAAGAAAGAATGGGAAAATTTATAATTTATTTAGGAGAGCACTTTAAGCACATGAAAACTTTAGCAGGATTCTAATAACACTCGTAATGTAACAAATGCTACAGACAATATGGGCAGATACAAAATATAGATTATGAAATAGTATGCAGCTTAAAATGTTGACAACAGGACCCATGGAGGGGAAGGTGAGAAGTCTCAAGATTCAGAGAAATCTTTATATATGGATACATACCTGGTATTGTTATAACTTTATGCGGGTGGCGCTGTGGGTAAAAGCCTCAGCGCCTAGGGCTTGCCGATCGAAACGTCGGCGGTTCGAATCCCCGCGGCGGGGTGCGCTCCCGTCGTTCGGTCCCAGCGCCTGCCAACCTAGCAGTTCGAAAGCACCCCCGAGTGCAAGTAGATAAATAGGGACCGCTTACAAGCGGGAAGGTAAACGGCGTTTCCGTGTGCGGCTCTGGCTCGCCAGAGCAGCGATGTCACGCTGGCCACGTGACCCGGAAGTGTCTCCGGACAGCGCTGGCCCACAGCCTATAGAGTGAGATGGGCGCACAACCCTAGAGTCTGGCAAGACTAGCCCGTACGGGCAGGGGTACCTTTACCTTTACCTTTACCTGGTATTGTTATAACTTTACACTTGTAAAATCAAATAAAAACAATTTCAAAAATATATATTAAATTGTTGTAACCTGTCCTGGGACTTACTGGTGGAGGGTGGGCAATAAAATTAATTAAAATGGCCATCCCCATTTGTAAGAATCTAAGTGAAATGAGTGGATAAGAAGGAACAGTTGGTCCATCAAGGTGGAAAGGGTGTGTGTGTTAAAGAGTCTTTTGCTCCTATATTGGCACACATGGGAAGAGAGGCAATTGATGGTGCCCCTTTGAATTGCTCCCCAAGTCACTGGCTCCCTCTAAAACATTGCCCTTGTTTTAAAAAAGTGTTTGCCAACACCTCGGGACACGGGTGGCGCTGTGGGTAAAACCTCAGTGCCTAGGACTTACTGATCGTAAGGTCGGCGGTTCGAATCCCCGCGGCGGGGTGAGCTCCCGTCGTTCGGTCCCAGCTCCTGCTCACCTAGCAGTTCGAAAGCACCCCTAAGTGCAAGTAGATAAATAGGTACCGCTTTATAGCGGGAAGGTAAACGGCGTTTCCGTGTGTGGCACTGGTGCTGGCTCACCAGTGCAGCTTCGTCACGCTGGCCACGTGACCCAGAAGTGTCTTCGGACAGCGCCGGCTCCTGGTCTCTTAAGTGAGATGAGCGCACAACCCTAGAGTCGGTCACGACTGGCCCGTACGGGCAGGGGTACCTTTACCTTTTACCTTTGCCAACACCTCAGTGCCAGTCCGGGAGAGGACAGGTCCCCTGGAATAACCTTGCTTGAAAAGAGGGCTTTCCTTTCCCTTCTGAGATGAGGCTGTTAAGTTCTCCCATCCATCACAGCACAGCGTGTCTTTTAATTAAAGGGAGTTGAGACGAGAAGATGACATGCAGTCTGGATCTCCCAACACCAGCCTCCCTCCTCCTTGGCTTACGGTGTTAGTGATTGTTCTTCATTAGACAATAGAAAGCTTTCATTACCCGAGGTAATTCAAGACAGTGAGGTTACCTAATTGCTGTCAATGCCAGAGATGCCAGTGCATAAGTCTGATGCAGAGGATCTATTTGGGATGCTATTATTATTATTGCAAAGACTGTTGCATAAGGCAGCTTCCCAGGTAAAAGCATTCTGCGAAATCCTGTTAGGAGTAGGATTTCTTACCCCCCACAACCTCAACTCTCCATCTTCAGACCAATTGCCATCAGCCACTTAGCACCAGCACGTCAGCGGAATTAAAATGCTGTCTGTGATCACTTTCCCAAGCAGAAGAGGTGGCGAGTGTTAGATCTCGTGGGAGCGCAGAAAGGCTTTCAGAGCTTGAAATACTGGTGGTGCTGGACATTTCATTGATGTGCAATGAAGAAACGGACAAGAAGAGAGAAGGTGAAGTTCCTGCTTAAGAATTGTCTGCTCCTCTGATGAGATGCTGGAGAATCAGTCCTTTCCTGGGAAAAATCAGATTCTGTGAGTTACCAGGTGGTAGCTATGATGATGATGGTGATGAAGGTATTCCTGCTCCTCATTTTTGTTGCAGGTAAGATTTCAGGTATGTTATTATTACATTGCCCTCTGTATACATGGCATCTTTCAGGGCAACCTAAGCAGGTCCTTGCCCTGAGGAGGCTACAGTTTTGACTTCAGTACTTGGGGAGAGAGTGGAAGGGAGGGAAAGATTTGATCACTGGGTCAATTCATACACTCACACTCCTTGTTCAGTAACTTAGCACTTGGTGATGACTCTCAGCTGAACACCTGAGCAGTCAAGTATGCGAGTCATAAGTTATTCATTTAGCACGCTTCTGAGCCACCTTTTCACAGTTCAGGGTGGTTTGTGTCAGCTAATGCAAGAGGTTAAAATACACACAAAACAACCAGTGATCTAGAAAAGGAACCAGCAGGCTAGCCAGAAGTCCACCCTGAAAGGTAATAAGGAGGTGGAATTCTCCTTGATGTTATAGCCACTAAGGCCCCTGTTCAGACATGCAGCAAAATCAGGTGGCAATAATGCTTGACCTGGAATGTAGCACTTTGCATGCTTTAGTGCTGTTTGTGGGGGGAGGTGTAGAAGCAAGCAGAAAATTTGGTTGCTGGGGAGAGCCCTTCTTTCAAACATGCCAGATTTTACATGTATCTGAACTGCTCTTGGTCCATAATACAGCGGGGATTGGGTGATTTGATCACATGACTTCTGTGCTTTGTCAGCTGTGCTGGCTCCCAGTCCATCTGCAGACCCAGTCTAAGCTGCTGTTTCTTACCTTTAAAGCCTTCATGGCATTGGGGCCAGCATGCCTGAAAGATCCTCTTCTCCCATAGAAACCTCCACTTGAAACTCAAGATCAAATTCCCAGGTCGTACTCTGAGTGTCCTGTCAAGTGGGGTGCAACAGTTGGCTACCAAGGTAGGGTGGCCACATGTTTTGCTGTACAGAAGACAGTTCTCAATTTGATGGGCTGCCCAGTTTAAAGAATTCTACGGAGGAAGAGCAAGGGGGCAATTAGAAGTTGCCTATCAACAAATTTCAGCACCTGGACAGCAAACTGAGCATAAACACAGGCTACCTGCCCCTGGTCTTCCCCACTGAGGGGAGATATACTGTATTTCTATTAAAGCTAGAGTAATTGTCTCCAAATGCACATTTATACATATAACTTAGTCTATGTAATTTTTTTACATGCAAATCAGTGTCCCCTTTTAGTCCTCTTTTTAAAGTGATGTGCATTGTTCTTTTCTTGGTGATAGAGCAGTCACCCAAAGGAGAAGACATTTTTGATGGTCGTAAAATCCACCTGCCCTTACTCCACTCCCATGAGGCTTGCTTTGAGCTTACATTTTGGCCTCGTGAGTGCCTCTTGAATACTTTTTGGTGTTGTTCTCTCCGGACTTTTAAAATTGTGATTTTAATATTTCACTTGTAATCCCCTCTTTACCATCATGTTACTGTTACTTCTGCTGCAGAACTGTGTTTTTGGGTTTTTTTTACTCTTCTCTGCTGATCAAATATTTATGCTGCCATTTGCCGGGTTTTTTATTTAAAATCTTGATAGCTCCATCTTGCATTTCCTGGCTTTTTGCTTGTGAGCTGTTCAGGGAATGATGGGCAGCCGTACAAATGCTACAAGTAAGCAAACATACCAATACAAGCGGAGTGATTGTTTTCTTTATGGGGGCATCCGAAACTGCCAGCTTCCCCCTGCAGTCTGAAGTGGCACAGCCTACGGGAAGGTTTGCCCCCATGATTTTTGTGCATGCACAAAAGCAGGACTCATGCCTTGCACATATTTGCAGGAGGTGGAATGAGTGCAGAGATTCTGGATTTCAACCCCTTTAGGGAAGGAAATTCTCTGTGTGCAAGACTATTATAGTCAGGACATTCTGTGTGTGTGGACCTATGATTTTGCACAAAACAGAGGCAACTGGGAGTCATGGGTGCAGAATACAGTTACCCAGGAAAGGCTGACCACAGTAGTTCATACGTTGGTTACTTCTTGACTAGATTACTGCAGTGCACTCTATGTGGGGCTTTCCTTGTGCTTGATCCAGAAGCAGTTGGTGCAGAGTGCTTCTGCATGACTGCTGGTGGGAGTGAGGCCTTGTCGGCATATTACACCTGTGCTCAGAGACCTGCACTGGTTATCTATTTGGTACTGGATCAAATTCAAAGTGTTACCAGGGCTCTTATTCAGCCAGAACTCACTGGAACTCAGTTCCTGCACCTCTCAGGGGGGCACCGTTGCCATTAGAAGAGGACAAGGGAGGTGTTCATAGTGAGTTCTGGCACTTCTTTTTCTAGAGAAATAGCACTGGGTGTTAGTATATAAAGCCCTTAACAACTTAGGACCAGTTTACCTTCAAGATTCATCATCAAATCTTTATTACAGTCATAGACCAGCATAAATAGGGTGGGGTACAATCATTTAAAATCTGTAAAACATTTTGAAGAGCTAAAATTATTAAAACAGAAGGTACTATAAGAATCTAAAAGAAGGGTTAGGACCACTAAATGGAAGTGGAAGAGCATAAAATGTTAGCATATAAGAGGCTATGACTATCAGTTTACAAAGCACTCTGAAATGAGTGTTCATTAAATCTAGTTTGTGTCTCAGGCACCTACAAGATGGCCTTACCCCATATACTTCCTTTTGACTGCTTCGATTGGTAGAACTGGTAGGGTTACAGGTGTCAAATAACACTCATTCTGCATTTGTGAGAACTCAGTCTTTTAGTGGCGCAGCACCTACCCTTTGGAACTCCCTGCCTAATGATATCAGGCAGGCATCTTTGCTGCACACTTTTTAGCACCTGATGAAACTTTTTTGTTTAGACAAGCCTGTCCAGATCTTTAGAAAGCTGAGGCAAGCTTTAATCTGTTTTTAGTTTATTGTTATTTTAACTTTTTGAAAGTCTTAAATTATTGTTGCTAATTCTTCTTGCTTACAATTTTATCCTTTTATTCTCTCTGTAAACCACTTGGAGGTCCCCCGTCAAGTATATAAATCTTATGAAATAAATAAAATCTCAAGGATGAGAAGCCAAGCGGACATTCCTGGTTCTTGATGATGAGGTAGTATTTCTCCCTCTCTGAGTTGCTCCAGTGATGCCAAGGTCTTGTGTAAGCGGCTCCCTTCCCTTGATTGCATCACACTTCCAGTGGTCTCTCTCTATCACAACCCAGAGCCTCACCGAAGCAGCACAGAACTCCCAGGCTGCGGCCAAACTGGCGAGGAATGTTTCTGACACTCCCAGAGGGTAGGATTAGAGCATGTGAATGTTTGCTACAGGGGGCTAATACCCCAAAGATTCTTTGCAGCTTTGAAATGTGGCCACTTCAACCTTACTTCCCTGTGTGCTCCTACACCCGGGAGGTGTTGTTATTATCAACAACGTCTATTCATTTAGCTCCGTTGACAGTTGAGTTTTAGTAGCCTCATTTGCAACGCTTCCAGGCTGCCGAAGGAAATGTGCAGCTGCTAAAGATGAGAGCCGTCTCTGTCCCTGACATTAGCTCAAGCACGTTGCTTGTTTCCACAGTTCTTGCTGGAACGCAGCCCAGAAGCATCATGTTCCTTGGTGGTAGCCACAATGGGGACAGGTGGGCACAAAGCTCGCAAAGATATTGCGCCACAGCCGACAATTGATCATTATTAGGCTTATTTTTAGCACCATCATTAACTCCATCGAGCATTGCTGTCCCCATGGAAACGTCCAGTTTTGACTTCTGAATCAGTGTAGCAGGTTAAAGTCTCTAACTTGGTTCCATTTTGGACACAGGCCAGCGGGCGTTGAGTCTTCAGCAGGACTTCCACGCATTGCACTGTTTTGGGGATTGCATCAAGCTTAAAAATCTGCTTGATGCAGATTTTATGAATGGGGCAGCCGTATTTATGAATGGGGCAGCACTTACCCCAAAGCAGGGATGGGGAAGCTGTAGCCTTCTAGATGTTGGTAGGCTCCATCTCCCATCTGCCCCAGCCAGCCTGGCCAGTGGGCAGGAGTGATAGGAGCTGTGGTCCAACAAGATATGGAGGGCCACAGATTCCCCATCTGTGCCCCAAAGCAGGACTTCCCAAACTGGTCTGTGAACCCTTGGTGGTCTGTGAGCTTCAGTCGGGTCATCTGTGTCTGCAAAAGCACAATTAAAAAGCACGCATCGTTTAGCACGGTGCTCTCCAATTGCTACGGTGGGCAAAAAAATCTTTAAGTGGTTCTCCAAGATCCTCAGGAATTTTCTGCTGGTCCATGATGGGAAGAGTCTGGGAACAACTGTCCCAAAAGATCAGGTTCACAATGTGGGGTGCTCCTCAACCCAGCTTTGTCATAGAGGCCCAGGTGTGGTAGAGTGCCTTTTACCAGATGAGACTGGTGTGTCAGTGTCAGGGACTGGGCAGAGGAGAAATGGTGGAGACTGCCTCCCCAGCTTGACCCTTCCAGGGAGGAGGAAGAGGAAGACAGTTTAGAATTACAACAGGGGTTTGAGGGAGGTCACAGCTCAGAGGCAGATGAGGGGGAAAGTTGGGAAATCGTGGGAGAGGAGGAGGAGGAAGAGGAAGAGGGAGCACCAAGGGGGCGACAGCTGATGGACTCAGTGTCTTTAGAAAGCATTCAAGAACACAAACCATATTTCTAGGGCAGGGACATCCAACTCCTAATAGACTACGATCTACTCACAGTATAAAAAAACCTGGCATTGATCTACCAGAGTTGTTGAGGTTGTTGAACTTTTATTGGGAAGGCAAAGTTGTTGATCTTGATTTGGAAAGGCAAAGTTATTGAGCTTCTTTTAGGAAGCCAGAATTGTGAAGGTTTTTTTGGAAGCCATAATTGTTGAGGTTTTTTGGGAAAGCCGAAGTTGTTGAGCATTTTTTTTGAGGGGGGATCACTGAGGCGCCAGAGATCCACCAGGATCCACCAGGAACACCCCGCGATCTACCAGTAGATCACGATCTGCCTGTTGGACATGCCTGTTCTAGGGCATATTCCCTGAGTTTAGAAACTAAATTTATTCTTCAGGCCGCTTTGATTCCAGTTTCCCCTTTAAAACATTCCTTTTATCGTTCTGATTCCAGTTAAGGAAGGAAATATGCCTTTGCCTCCTGGCTGAGATGAAATCAGGGCTTGCTATTCCTCAGGCTCTGCTGAGGATAACACACCTGCAGCCCTGTCCGTAACATTCTGGTTGCTGTGACATTGATCAAAGATAGGGATCGCTTCCCAGCCCAGCTCCTGACATGGCATCCTTCATAAAAAATGGACATAAGCAGCCTCAGCGTGCTGAGAGAGGACATCTCATTTACAGTTTCCTGCTGGAACTCTGGTCCCTTCAGCAGCTCATCAAAACAGCTATCAGAGGCCCGGCAAGTGGGAGAAAGCGTACATCTCGGACCCTGCAGATTAGATTTTGCTCACACACGTTGCCAATTTGCTTCAGCCCAATGAGTTGGTGAGGCTGAGCTCCCCAAGGGCCAGCTGGAACAGTGAGCAGGGGGCGGGGGAGAGAATCTTTTTGCATTTCTGAGGGGCCACTCAGGAATGTGTCACATGCAATTTTGGGTCTCCGTATCTCCCTATCCCCCCACCCCAATGCTCCCGCATCCCTGGCTCTTTTTCTCTCCTGCTATGCAAACAGATTTTATTTTTTTGTTCCAGTAAAGAAGCTTCTCATATGGGGGAAAGGGTGGGTGGGTTGGAGTGTGTGTGTGTGTGTGTGTGTGTGTGTGTGTGAGAGAGAGAGAGAGAGAGAGAGAGAGAGAGAGAACTAAATTATCTGAGTACAGGACCAGGCACAATCTCATCAGCTCCCAAACCATGTGGCTTTCGGGGTTCGCTAATTCCTATTCCACATTCACTTCTGTGGTCTAGATTCCTGAATGAGATCTGCAGAACACTGAATGAAAAGAAAAAGCCCATTAACTGGAAACACATAGTCTATTATCTTAAAAATTAAAGTGACTTCAGAGCTTGGTGAAAGGCAGTAGTCTGGCTGTCGTGTGACATGAGCTGTCAGAGAAGAAAGGCAGAAGCAGTGCAAAGGCCAAACCAACACCTCTCTCTTTCCTAACAACAGGCAACCTCTGCACCTGACAACTGATGCCAAATGTATCCAATTAGCAGATTGAGCTTTACTCCTTCTGCTTCCCTTGGTACGGACAGAAGCCTTAAGGATCACACAGCCTGATTCAAAGTTTATTTGTTCAGAAGCAAGTTCCATTGTGTTCACTGGGAATTTATAATATCCAAATCACTAAGTATACACAGGATCGCAGCCTTGGTTACAGATATGGTGGTGGTGAGGATGAATGATTCTTCAACATCAACTTCGTTGGACTGGTCATGTTGTGCAGTTGCCTCATTACCATCTTCCAAAGCAACTGCTCTATTCCAAAGCTTAAAATGGAAAGCGTAATGCTGGTGGTCAACAAAAGAGGTTTAAAGACTCTCTCAAGGCAAATCCGAGCACAATTCAAAGTGTTGGTGCTGACCTTTAAAGCCCTAAACGGCCTCGGTCCAGTATATCTGAAGGAGCGTCTCCACCCCCATTGTTCAGCCCGGACACTGAGATCCAGCGCCGAGGGCCTTCTGGCGGTTCCCTCATTGCGAGAAGTAAGGTTACAGGGAACCAGGCAGAGGGCCTTCTCGGTAGTGGCTCCTGCCCTGTGGAACGCCCTCCAGCAGATGTCAAAGCAATAAACAACTATTTTACTTTTAAAAGTCATCTGAAGGCAGCCCTCTTTAGGGAAGTTTTTAATGTTTGATGCTGTACTGTTTTTAATATTCAGTTGGAAGCCGCCCAGAGTGGCTGGGGAAACCCAGCCAGATGGGCGGGGTATAAATAATAAATTATTATTATTATAAATCTTAAAAAATGTAGTATAAACACCAACAATTGAGAAACATTGGCCTGCGAGCGCTCCAATTGGAGAACCCCCTTTACCAAAGGTGTCTTGGGTTTTGAAGATGCTCGAACTCAGGACAAATGGGAGAAATGTGCTAAGAGGAAGGCATGTTTGGCAAACCCTCACCATGATCAACTCCCGCCCGGAAACCTATGTCCCTACTGTGGAAGGATGTGTGGATCCAGAAGTGGCCTCCTCTGTCACTTACGGACTCACTGTTAAAGCCGTGTTGATGGAAGACAATCTTACTTGGCTATGAGTGATTGCCCAAGAAGAAGAAGAAGACACATTTCAGTCAATGAGTTGGAGAAAGTGGTTTAGGGAGAAGTAGGTTAGGCCAAGAAGCAGTGATGGACCCAAGGTCACTCAGTGAGCTTCAGGGTTGAGTGGGGATTTGAACCCCATCTCCCCAGTCATAGTCCAAAACTCTAACCACTGCACCACACTGGCTGAGACTAGAAAGAGGATAGGATAGGGGGTTGTTAAGTATAGTAATTTAATTCACTGAAATTGTAAATGCATGTATGAATTACCATGTGTTTAAATTTGATGGTTGGTAACTGAATTCTAGAGAGTTCTCTAGTAGTTCTTGTGTGATTGGCTAACATTAGTCACATGGGAGGTATCTAGTGAAGGATAGACTCCATTTTATCTGAGGTGAGATCGCTGTGTTTTACAATCCACTGTGAACACTGCTAAGTTGAATACTGTAGTGTGTTCGAGTGTTTCTTCTCTGCTTGTAAGAAAGAGAGCAAAAATGCAGAAGAAGGTGGAAATCTCTCATAGGACCTGCAAGGTATGGCTTCATTGGGATACAGATGGCTGAGCGCTGAGCTCTGGAAATAGGAAAATGCAGTTGTTTGGAAGTTAGAAGAAGAGACTGTAAGCCCATGCTTGGATAAGCATGTGACTATGAATATTGTTTTAATTCATCTATAAGTGTAAGCTTCTGCAAGTAAAGTTTTTGAATGTTAAAGTCTGGACATTGGTTTAATTTCCAAAGAAGGGCATCAGTCATATATATCTTCTTCTTCTTTAGCGATCCCTCGTAGCTGAGTAAGACTGTCTTCCATAAACATGGTCTTAACAGTGAGTCCGTAAGTGACTGTGAAGGCCAATTCTGGATCCACACATCCTTCCACAGTAGGGACATGGATTTCCAGGCAGGAGTTGATCATGGTGAGGGTTTTCCAAGTGGGCCTTCCTCTTAGCATGTTTCTCCCTTTCATCCTGAGTTCAAGTGTCTTCAAAGCCCTTGACACCTTTGGTAAAGGCTTTCCTCCAATTGGAGTGCTTGCAGGCCCGTGCTTCCCAGTTGTCAGTGTTTATACTACATTTTTTTTAGATTTGCCTTTTTATTGGCTGCATTTTGCTGCCCTTACTTCAACAGAGGTGGTAGTCCACATGCCAGCTGGCCCACTCCAGGCTTTAAGTTAATACCTCTCTGTTAGGCTCTTTGTCCCATCCTGAAGGGTCTAAGCGCTTCAGGAAGAACAGCCCTTCCCAAGAAAGTGTTGTCAGCTTTTTGTCATGTTCTCATCACACTTAATTACCTGAGTCTCTTTGCTTCCCAGGTACTTTGGCTGCCGCCACTCAACGACCCAGGAACTCCACACTGCACCGCTTGACCCGGCGGCTTCTGAAGAAGTACAGCAAGGGAGTGAGGCCTGTCAGAAATTGGAGCAAGCCCACCATCGTCTATCTTGACCTCTTTGTGCATGCAGTACTGGGCGTGGTAAAGAGAGCTTCTAGCTCATTTAAAGCTGTTGACCTGCAGGGTGGAATAGCAATGAAGTCTCTGCAAGGGGAACACCTTTAAACAGGGGCTAGAGCCTGTGTGTGATGTGCTTCTGTAGTCATTGAGGTCTAAATCTGGGTTGGATGCTAGTAGCTCTGCATTAAATTGAACCCTGTAATTATTACCTGTCTGCAACAGCAATTTTGGAAGATCTGCAGAAGAATATTGCAGCACTTCCAGAGACCAGAGATTTGATTCAGTCAACATTTTAAAGGCAAACCTACCCGGAAAGGAACTTTGTGAAACAACACACAAACTAAAACAAAACCATCTTTCCGAATTCAAGCTTTGCAGTGCTGGTCTCCGGCTAAGTAATGTGTGCAAAAATGCATGTACAGTTGACTCGCAGCTTGCGTGCTTTTAACTTGCCCGATTGCAGCTTTAGGCACTTGGTGGCTGGCCAGCATGCAATCATGCAAATTAATCCCATGCAAGTTTGAGGGCTTGAAAGCTCTTTCTGAGCCAGGTTTTCCCAGTGTGGAAAGAGCTTTTAAGCTCTCAGACTTGCTTGCTGAGTTCTGGGAAAGTCTGGCATCATCTTGTGGGGCCTTTGCAAGATCTTACAGGGCCATCCAAGATCTCACGAGATTTCATGGCCTCCAGAGGCTATGCAAGATCTTCCCAGAGCCTGGTAAGCAAGGCAGAGAGACCTTTCCACACCAGGTTTTCCTGCCATGGAAAGAGCTTTTAAGCTCTCCTCCTTTCTGAAAGCTAGATATACTGTTTTCTGTGCACATACCTGGGCAAATGATTTGGAGTGTTCCAATAGCTCCTTCTGGAGTGACTCAAGTTGTGTTTTCCGAGATGTTTCATCATACATAATAGAATTTGCACACCATTCTCTAGAAACTGAAGCACCTTGCTTTTTCAGTGTTCCTAAATGCTTATCTCTGGAGTGGATAGTTGCTAAAAAGCTCCCCTTTCATACTGATTGAGTTGCTGGAGGCTGGGACTCTGCTGCAGCAATAGTAGGGGGTCTTTAACCCCCTGATCACTATGTAAGAGGGAAGGGCTGGAGAATCTGCCTAGCATGCTGAAGGTCCTGAACTCAGTCCTTAGCACCTCCAGCTGGAACCAGAAGAGCCTCCTGCCTGAAACTCTGGAGAATCACTACCTGTCAGAATTGACAATACAGTCATACCTTGGATCCCGAACGCCTTGGTACTCATACGTTTTGGCTCCCAAATGCCACAAACCTGGAAGTGAGTGTTCTGGTTTGCGAACATTCTTTGGAACCCAAATGTCCGAGGGAGCTTCCTGCAGCCAATTGGAAGCTGCGCTTTGGTCAGGGGCATACAAAGCAGGGTGTGGAGGGGGCAGGCCGCCCCGGGTGCCACTCTGGGGAGTGACAAGATGGCCCCTGCCTCCCCCCAGCTGTAGAGCGGCCGAGGGCGCATGCAGTCAGTATGGGCTCATGTGGTGTCCATATGGGCTGCTGCTCTCGCACGTCATCCACATGGGCGACCGTACGAGCTGCCTCTCACACGGCGGCCATATGGGCTGCCGCGCATGCACACTCTGTACAGGATGCCGCACATGCGCAATCCGTACAGTCGCCATGCGTGCACCACTGGGTGGTTCACCCCGCTCCTCTGCATCCCACCCCGGGTGCTGGAGAGGGTTCCTCTGCCACTGGCTTTGGTTTTCAAACGTTTTGGAAGTTGAAACGAATTCCTTTCGACTTCAGAGGTACCACTGTACTGAGCTAGGCAGACTTTGCTTTTGTCTGGCTCCATATCAGGCAGGTTCCCATGCCCATAAGATGGAAAGCACAGTGGCTCCACAAGGCCCAGAGCTTGCAAGGGACTGACTTTGCTCATTTTGTTTTGTACGATCAACTTACACGGATGGCGACCGTATTTGTACCCCCCGGTGATAAGAGGAGAGATTTGGCTGTGTAATCACCGTTGTCAGACGCTGCCGTTGGCTCTGCAAGAACGCTCGATGCCTCCCAGGCCTCGGCAGGTGTGCACGCTAATAGAGGAGCCATTCGGCAGGCATTGCGGCACGCAAAGTGCTCCCGCCCCATCTTCCCTGTCGCCTGCGACTCCTTTTGTTGATCTTTTGCCTCCTGTTCCGCGCACATAAAAGGCGGGGAGCAGTCTGAGACTCTCCAGTTATTAGGAGGGCCTTGGGGAAATCTGATTAGACCGATAATCTAGTCAACGGAGAAAGAGCTCCAATTTGTTTAGATTGAGTTTCGTCAGTGCCGAATTCCACGCACCTCCATCTTCCACTCCACTGACTTAGAGCCTCCCAGACAGACGCCGAGGCAGCTGTTCCAACAGGATGCCGAACTGGGGGAAAGATAAATAAGAATGCGGAGGAATTATCTGCATGTTTGCTAACCACCAATTTAAGACTAAAGTAGGCTTCCTATGTTAGGGAGACTAATGAATTCCAATTCTCCCAAATATCCTTTGCTTTTAACAAGCAAGATGGAAGGGGATCCGTACATGTACACCCAAAGCGAGAGAGGAAGGAATAGTTTCAAATGGCACAACGAGAGAAGCAATTATATTGGCCAGCTGGCATGGAGGAAAACTCTGAAGGGGAGTCAAGTTTTACTTTCTGACTCCCCCCCCCCCCACAACTCCCACAACTCTGGCACTAGGGATGGAGGGAATGTCAACAGCCAATGGGCTGCGCAAAGCAAAGAGTGCTGATACAGCAGTGATAAGCAGGAAAGGTGCTGGAAGCAGAGATGGGGATAAGAATTAGCTGTTCATACAATGTGGGGGTATGCATGAGAAGACTTAAATCAGGGGTGGGGAATCTCAGGCCTGCGAGCCAAATCCAGCCCTCCAGCCCTCTCTGTCTGGCCATCAGGATCTCTCCCCAAGCTGCCCCTCCTTTCCCTAAGGCCACACCCCTTACCAGCCCCATTCATGCCCTCCTTGAGTGCTTCTGCAGGGCTGAAGTGTGTCCTTGAATAAGCATCCTGCCGCTTACGAGACTATAAGTGTGTGTGGACTGTGGCAGGGTTCCTTGGAAAGTGGGACTACCATTTTTAAACTTCAAAATATTTTCTGAGTTGCCCCCTCCCTTTCCTCTCGGCCCGAGCATGCATGGAATATGGTGGCCATTTCACCAGCACAATGGCAAAATATCTCTCTCACCCCCCCCCCGCAATTATTTCTCTGTTATTCTCTTTGCTAGGAAGGGATGCTTCCAAACTGTGAACCTTCCAGAGAAGAAGGCAATCAACGCTGCCCAGTTTTCAAGCCCTGCTTTTGTAGAGAATATGCATTATTCTTAGCAACCTGATTAATGTCAGAGTAACTAATTAGGGTGGTAGGGAGGGAGAGATGGGTGATTCGTTTATAGTGTCAACAGCCGGCAGCGGTGTGCCATTTTGTCAATGGTAATTTACTGTAAGGAGCAGCAGACAGAGGGGGGTACCTGAGAGTCGAGGGTCAACAAAACAGCGTCAGCCAGGTGTAGGAGAAGACAGTGATGGAGATGGGCTTCCAGAGAGTTGTCCATTTGGTAAAATTGATTGGTCCCCCTTTTCCTTTTTTAGCTGGATTCCAGGTGCAGCTCCTGCAAATCTAGAGATGGGGCAAGACAGCGATGAGATAAGGCAGAATAATTCTAGCCAGCACAAGAAACAGGCAAAGCTCTTTCCTCATTGCTTAAACCTGCATAAAATCCTAACCCAGAACAAGGGTCAGGAACATCTGTGGAGCTCCAGATGAAATTTCTATCATCCCCAAGTTCTGACCACACTAGTTGCTGGGGATGCTGGGAGTTAGAGCAGGGGTCGGCAAAGTTTTTGCGGCTTGGGCTGGTTCACGGTCCCACAGATGCCGCAGTGGGCCGGTGTGTGTGTGTGTGTGTGTGCGCATGCATGTGCAAATGCTATTTCTGGTGCTCCTTCTAGTGGAGAGGAGGTGTGTGCAGCTTCCCATTGGGAAGCCAGCCAGCATCACGGAAGGTGGTCCCCACTCTGCTCCACACCAGTTTAGGGTGGCGCACAAGAGCCGACCGAGTCGGTGGCAGGGGTCCATGGGCTGGTTAAATGACCCCATGGGCTGCTTGCGGCCCATGGGCCTTAGGTTGCCGACCCCTGAGTTAGAGTCTAACAACATCCAGAGGGTCTTGGCTTCTCTATCCTTCCTGTAGGAAAGTCATAAAGTAACATATGACCTGCTCTGACCTACTGCTCTTAAGAGAATCTCAGGCTGGTCTCTCTGCAGTTCCCACCTTTGACCAGAGACAGACAGAGGCAAAAGAGTTGCACCCCGCTCTGGCATGGCTTGGGTCCCATGTCCAACACCAGCTGGGCTCTTGAGCCATGCCCCTAGAACACCTAAGTGGATCTAGTTCCATGCAAGTCATACTGTTTGAATTTGCAATGGGAGAGACAGGGATGGAGATGATTTGAAGCCACATGAAAACATCCTATTTAACAATAGGCAAAACCTGTTTAACTCTCTTGGCAAATGTGCAACAATGATAATTTCCTGATTTGACTGTCTTCCATCATAATTATTGTTGTTATCTGCATGATTTGCACAATTTACATCTTTTTCCTTTCCAGGATGCTCAGAATCAAAAACTGAAAACAAGCATTTGGTATCGGCAGGTAAGACGATACTGACTGGGGCTGATGGTGTGTCCCCCATTGGAGGGCCACAGCTTCCATATCCTTGCTGTATGAGGTGGTGCTCCAACTGTTAATTGTTAGTAAGCCAGGCCTCCCTAATAACCCAAGTAGTCCTCTCTTCCTCCCCCCCCATTTTAAAATTCAACCCTCCACCCATTTCCCCCACTTCTCTAACCAAAAACTAAAATCTCAGCTTCCATCATGATACATTTGACTTTAGTACAGTTTAAAAATAGCTAGACATGCTCCTTTCTCTCTTTTGCAGATCTGGAAGGATGAGTATCTCACTTGGAATTCCAGTCGTTATGATGGGATCCAAGAAATCTCTTTGCCCATTCACCGCATCTGGGCTCCTGATATTATTGTTGGTGAATCGTAAGTGTGGACCTTGTTGGTTTGAAATGATGGTGACTCAGGGTCTCATAAACTTCTTTTAAGTAGGTTTTACCTCGGGCTGCAGTTGTTAAGCTGAAGATGTTTTGATATTGTTGCTTTTCAGTGGCATTTTATTATATTATAGTAATAAATATGGTTTATTGGTTTTAGCCACCTTGGAGGCCTACTGCAGATATATGGGAAAGAGAAAGAAAGAAGGAAGGAAGGAAGGAAGGAAGGAAGGAAGGAAGGACCAAAAGGATCAAGGGAATGGAACAACTCAGAGGGGACATTTGACAACTCATGAGTGACATTTATTGCCTCAGAACTTGGGAAGTAACGAATGGAGTAACTCAGAGGGGAGTTGTTCCATTCCCTACATCCCAAGCTCTGGGGCTACAAATGTCACTCATGCCTGAACAAAAGATGCAATATTTAGCAATGGAAATAGTGTTCCCTGGTAATGTACAATACAGTACATCATGGGCTGTCCCTCTGCTCTCTCTCTTCCTGGTATAGTGTGGATGCCAGCAAATCCCCAGATCTCCCATTTGTCTATTTGAATGCCAGTGGCGTGATCAAGAATTACAAACCCATGCAGGTGGTGTCCGCATGCATCCTGGAAATGTACACTTTCCCATTTGACACACAGAACTGCAGCCTGACTTTCAGCAGTGCTTTGCACACAGGTGAGTCAGGACTTCTGAACCCAGGGACTGGGTGTTATTAGGGGGGAAATCTGTAGCTCAGTGGTAGAGCACCTGCCTTGCATGCAGAAGGTCCCAGGTTCAATCCCCAGCATCTCTAGGTATTCAACCTTGAGCCCCTAGATGTTGCTAGACTACAACTCCCATCATCCACAGTTAGCTTCACCCATGGCCAGGGCTGATGGTTATTATAGTCTACCGACATCTGGGGACTCAAGGTTGAAGAACACTGGTGTAGGCAATACGGTGCTAGATGAACCAATGGTCTGAGGCAGCTTCCTCTGTTTCCATCATTGCTTTTACAACACCACCACCCAGTGCTGGCCAAAGGGTGGAGCTACAGGGAGTCTGGTCAGACCAGATGAGATGCCTCTCAACTGACCAGAGAGAAGCCCCCAAACAGGTTTTTTGGGCAGGATTGATTGCTCTTCTAACAACTAGGAGACTAGACTCTTGTGCTGGATACAGGCTGCCTCTATTTTGCTTCATGTTTGCCTTACTTTGCAGGACAAGAGTTGGGTCTTAGTGGGAAGGAGCAAGGAGATATACCTTGGAATGATAGGTACCCACAGTCTGGCTTCTCTCCATCATGTGAACTAATTTCTTGACTCTGTTTGCTCCCTCTGAGTTCCCCACATTACTGGAAAATAGTCATAGGAAGTTTAGTTTGCAGAGGGGGCTAGGAATTGTACTTCTGTGGGGGGTGAACTACAGTTCCTAGAAATCTTTGGGTGATGCAATGCGCTTTAAATGTGCAGTGAGGCTGTAACGTAACATTTTGTTCACCACTGGACTTGATCTTAAATGTGCATGACTAATAGTTTTGTCATTTCCCCCCACTGCATCCTTTTTAGTTCAGGATGTGGACCTTGCTTTTTGGAGGAGATATGAGGAGATCAAGAGTGACCAGAAGTTGTTTCTAAATGATGGAGAATGGGAGTTGGTCTCTGTGCTCTCTGAGCGGCGTATCCTGCAAACTCAGACTGGGAGCATTGCTCAGATTCGGTTTCATGTGAGTACCTGGAACATTGTGACCTGGTTACTCTATCCTCTCCTCTTCCTTTCTCTTCCCTTAATGGCATCATTTAATGATGTCATGTCTTGTTCTCATCTCTTGTCCCATGTCCTCTTGTTCTTGTTCTCATCTCTTGTTCACAAAGGCTTCCTGCCTATACCTGGTCCTTCAGCTTTACTGTTGCCTGGTTTTTGTGTTGTAGTTTAGATGGTTGCTGTTCATTCATTTATAGTTGTGTTTTTTAAACGGCACTTTTGCATTTGATTAAAAAATAATAATCCTCACCTTGTGAAGCTGCTCTGAGTGCCCTGTGGGTACAGGGTGGAATGAAAATACATTTTTTAACTTTGAAATCAGCAATGATGTGATAATTGTTAGGAACCCAAGATTTCCAATCAGCGTGTAATGTGATTCAGTGCTAGGAGTAAGAGAAATTTGGTTTGCACCTAGTAAGGATCTTCCTGGTTCTTCTTTCTTCACGCTTCTTCTGCTTCTGTCTTCCAATTCATCCATCCTTCTCTTCACTCTTCCTGTTTGCTTCTTCAGATGACTGTGCTGCAGAGGCCTTATTTCACCCAGGTCAAACTCCCAGTTTTGCACCACACTATTTATAAGGGACACGGTTGGCGCTGTGGGTTAAACCACAGAGCCTAGGACTTGCCGATCAGAAGGTTGGCGGTTCGCATCTCCGCGACAGGGTGAGCTCCTGTTTCTTGGTCCCTGCTCCTGCCCAACTAGCAGTTTCGAAAGCATGGCAAAGTGCAAGTAGATAAATAGGTACCACTCCAGCGGGAAGGTAAACGATGTTTCCGTGCGCTGCTCTGTTCGCCAGAAGCGGCTTAGTCATGCTGGCCACATGACCTAGAAGCTGCATGCCGGCTCCTTCGGTCAATAAAGCGAGATGAGCGCCGCAACCCCAGAGTCGGCCATGACTGGACCTAATGGTCAGGGGTTCCTTTACCTTTACCTATGCACATTTATACACACACACACACACAGGCTGAGAGCCTCAATGGAGGCTTCACCCAGGGCAAAAAACCCAGCTAGCCCCCATAGCCACAGCACTGCCTTCAAGTGTCACATGTCTGCAGTGGCCATGGCACAAACAAACCACACACCATTACCATACATGGACATTCACCACAAATTCAGCACACACACTCAGCATTTCAACCCTCCTCACTCCAGCACAGGAAATGCTACCTTCGCACAGAATCTACAAATTTACCGTTATCTGGTGCTTCTTTGTTGAATAAATGAGAAGGGAAAGGTGCCAGCTTTAGCTGCAAAGCTGTGTCTGACTGTCGGCCCCCGTTCGCCTTATGAAGGCAGCTAGGCAAGACTGAGTGCTGGTGGGGTCCTCCGCCAGCAAGACAGTTGGCACCTAACCTTGGATAATATTCCATCTCCAGCCTGCAGCTGCTGAACGGGCACCGAATGAGATTGATTCCCTTCATTAGCGCCAATGGGCTGCAAATACCTTTTGTGTACTTATTATTATTACCTGGCGTTAATGGATAATGAAATGGTGGCATAATATCGCTAGCACCTGAAGGGTGTCTAATGGCAAACACGACTAAATCGAAAGCGCTCTCCTCTTTTTGCTTCCTTCCTTGTGCTGGGGAATTTAAAGGCAATGAGCTCCATCGCCTGTTAGACAGGATGGGAAGGGAAGGATTTGGTTGCTGAGAGAATCATACGTTGCAATTCAGGACCATGGACACCTCCACAAAACCCTGCCCAGAAAAGAGCTGAAGATTCTGAAGGAACATGCTGCTGCCATTGGCCGATACCAGTTCCCGGTGAGGATGTTTTATGCAGGGTGGCCCGAATCCTATTGAGGGTTCATACCCCACAGTCCTCATCTGAAATCGCCGTGTGGTGTCATCTCAAATTTCTGAGCATTCGACAGACACAATGGTTTTGACTGGAGAAAACAATTGTGCCTCTCAAAGGAATCAGGCTCCCACTTGTGGAGGAATATAGTATGTTGTTGTTGTTGTTGTTTAGTCATTTAGTCTTGTATGACTCTTTGTGACGCCATGGACCAGAGTACGCCAGGCACTCCTGTCTTCCACTGCCTCCCACAGTTTGGTCAGACTCATGTTGGTAGCTTTGAGAACACTGTCCAACCATCTCGTCCTCTGTTGTCCCCTTCTCCTTGTGCCCCCCATCTTTCCCAACATCAGGGTCTTTTCCAGGGAGTCTTCTCTTCTCATGAGGTGGCCAAAGTATTGGAGCCTCAGCTTCATGATCTGTCCTTCCAGTGAGCACTCAGGGCTGATTTCCTCAGAAGGGATAGGTTTGATCTTCTTGCAGTCCATGGGACTCTCAAGAGTCTCCTCCAACACCATAATTCAAAAGCATCAATTCTTTGGCAATCAGCCTTCTTTATGGTCCAGCTCTCACTTCTGTACATCACTACTGGGAAAACCATAGCTTTAACTATACGGACCTTTGTTGGCAAGGTGATGTCTCTGCTTTTTAAGATGCTGTCTAGGGCCAAGCAAAGCTTATTTGTGGGTTTGACACTACATAAGCTTTCAATCAACACAAAATTTTCTAATTTTGTGGTTTTCAAATTCTCAATGAAATAAGGAACTGATAGCTAGTGACCAACGTCAGCATTGCTCTCTCCTCCCTCCCATGTTTCCTAGGCCAGCCAGTGCAGTTAAAGTGTCAGACCACAATGCTAGCCCCCACTCAGCCATGAAGCTCATTGGTGATCTTGGCCCAATCTCTCAGTCCAGCCTACCTCACAGGGTTGTTTTGAGGATAACTATGTACACCACTTTGAGATCCAGTTCAAGACAAGAAGGGATATAAATGTAACAACAGCTGCAGCAACAACAACAGCAGAATTGTGAACAGAACTCTCTAGAATAACTCCATCACAAACTTTGGCATATCTGTGTAAGCAACTGAATTTAGTACAGAAAAGCATGAATTGGAAACATTTATAAAAAGCTGCCTTTTCTGTTCTGGATGCCACATCTGACTTGTACTGTCTGCACTAAAAGCAAGTGGAACAGCTATTATACAGAAGCACCAAGTTCAGAGGTCCCTGGATATCAGTCTCTAGGGAGCAATAGCAGGAGTGGGCTTTCCAGAAGCACATGAACTTGATGGGCCTCTTATGCCCTTAAGGAAACTGGTGTCACCATTGTGGCCCAGTGGGTCAGCTGAGGCAGAACAGTAGAGAAAGATAGATCACTGCCCCAGAGGCAGTATAAATTCCTTATCTCTGAAGTTTCATTAATTGCCAGCCCTCTTCCTCCATCTGATTCCTCCAGATTGTTATCACCAGACGTCCCCTGCTCTACGTGGTCAGCTTGCTGATTCCCAGCATCTTCCTGCTCGTTGTGGACCTGGGTAGTTTCTACCTGCCCCCAAATTCTGGAACAAGGATAACATTCAAAACCAGCGTGCTGGTTGGTTACACTCTCTTCAAAGTCAACATGTCAGATGAGCTGCCAAGTACTGGGATTGGCACATCTCTGATCAGTGAGTGGAAACAGGGTAGCACTAATATGAGTATAACTTAATAATAATAGCACAAGGGTTCATATTGTTTCACACGTGTAATGCAGTAATTCTGGAAAGGTATAGCATTACGCCCATATTGCAGGTGAAGGCACTGAGGCAGTGAGGTTGTGGTTTACCTAAAGAAAACCCAGCAGGGGCAATATTCTAACTGGAGCACCAGGAGGTAGAGAGCTCATTCTTCCAGCCACTGCACTATTACCTGGACAATAGGAACGGGTTGTGATTGCGCCAAAGTAAGTCACAGCAGAAAACCAATCTTCTGCTGCAGGCAAAATGCATGGGTGCCAAATGAGCTTTTCTGCAGCAGTAGCCTTGGCTAAAGTGGGTTTCAAAATATGGTCAGCCCCTCTTGGGAAATATCCCACAGTGCTTCAGGTGTGTGTTCTTGTGTGCCTGTCCTGTTTCTGTACGAGCCTTTAGAGGGCATACGGGAGGAAGCAAGGAGTGCAAAGCAGGCATCAAAGTTCTCACTGAGGTTGTAAACCAATGGTGATGGAGCAGTGCCAACCTAGCCCAAGGCAGGCAGGTGGCTGGGCAGCAGGTTCTCTAGGTGAGTTGCTGGGGAGCCAAGCCTGAAGCAGCTGTTAGATAAGAGCAGCAGGGCTCCATGTGGCTCCCTGGATCAGCTAACCTGGCCAGGCTTCCATTATCAAGGAGCTGGCCAGCTGGTTTTGCTAGCTGCCCTGTAGTGCAGAGAACAAAGCACCTCAGCCAGTTCACTGAGTTCACTGACTCCTCCTCCCCCCCCCATACCTGATAGATTTGGGGCAATGCAAGAGTCTCTGGATAAGTGCCTATGGCTTGTGGTCATCATCCTCATTGGAGAAGTCCCTTTATATGGGCTCTGTGTGCTGGATCATAGCAATGCCAATGGTTCACAAGTACCTCCTCCTCCTCTTACCTCTGTCTCAGGTGCCTTCTTCACCATTTGCATGGCTCTGCTGGTCCTCAGCCTATCCAAGTCCATCTTCCTCATCAAATTCCTCTACTTGGGTGATGACTGCACACGGGATAAGCCCTTTGCTTCTTACTGCTGCAGGAACACTGTTGACACTGCGGGTGAAAACGCCAAGGCAGCTAGGAGCGCAGGAGAAAAAGCTGGCACTGCTGCAGGTACAGAAGGCCAAGAAGTAATGGGAGACAGAAAATGAGTTTATAAAACTATAAGAAAGTGGATAGAAATGAGGTCTTCCCACCCACACCTCACGAAACTAGAACTGGAGTGGAGGATGTGTGTGTCAGCCCATAACACTAACTATTGATGGATTACAGGCATACAAAAGCCCTTCTTCACACAATACATCATTAATTTGTGGAACTCAGTACTGCAAGATGGAGCAATAGCCATTGGCTTAAATGTCTTTAGAAGAGGACAGAGCAACTTCAAGAAAGAGAATAGGTCTACCAATAGCAATTTGCCACGGTGCCTATATTGAAACTTTAGAGGCAGCCTACATCTTGAACACTGTGAAGGAGCAATGATGAAGTATGGCTGTGCCTTCACTCTGCCCTACTTGTAGGATTTTAGGAGAAATCTGTGGGGAACCAGCTTGAATCTAGAGCAGACTTCCCCAGCCTGGTATCCTTCGGATATTTTGGACAATGAATCCCATGAGCCCCAAGCAGCACGGACTGATGGGAGTTACACACCAGAATATCTGGAGGATGCCAGACTGGGAAAGGCTGAACTAGATGGGCCCATTGGTCTGACCTCCCAGGACCTCTGCTTATGTTCTTAAGGACTGTCCAAGCATAGATTTGTAGGTAAAACTCTAGAATTGTAGTCTTAGAAGGCACTCCGAGGGTCATCCAGTCCAATGCATGAGGTCAACAAGGAACTATGCCTGCCCAGGACTGAGTTGTAAGAATGGGTTGGGTTAGGAATGAAAGTGAAGCAAGCCCTCATTCATCTCTTCTTCCAACATGATGAAGTGCTTCTGTCTTTCTGCAGGGATACCCTTGGCTTGGGAAGGCTCATCTGTAAAAGACCATGCCACTGGGACAGCCACACCCCCAATGGAGAAAATCCGAAGAGAACTCCTCCCCATCAGCTCCCACTTTCGTGCCCTAGGCGTTGCTGCCAAAGTGGACGGCGACTGGCTCTCTCTTGCAAACAAGCTTGACAAACTCCTGTTCCGGGCCTATCTTTTAGTGCTAGCTGTGTATGCAGTCACAATGGGTTCTCTCTGGGGGACGTGGAGCTCCCAGTAGGGGCAGCTGGCAAGGCAGTCCAACATGGCACTGAAGAATGGCCACATGGGCATCGTAAATGACATTCCCAGTCAAATCATTATGCCCACTTACAGCATTGGAGAGCACAATTTAAAATGTGGGGTATCACCTTTGGCACTCGAGCGCTCTCTCAATTTCCTCTGTTGACTAGTCTAGGCTAGTTAAATAAATTTAACATGCATGCATATATATATTTTAAATATGCAGACATAATCATAGGAGAAATAACCATAGGGATCACAGCAGATGTGAAGCGGGAATTTGAAGCTTTTCCTTCTATTTCTGAGAAGTGGCTGTCCTCAGGACTGCAGGAAATGCTCAAAGCCCCTCTCAATTCCTGCTGCAGTCCTGGCAAATATCAGTCCCTCCTTTCCAGAAGATATTATGTGTGTTATTGCCCCACAAAATAACCTGCACTCAGGTTGCACTCAAGTCCTGCTTCAGGGCTCCCGGTTACCTGTTTGGCCACTGAGAAAACTGAACGCTGGACTAAGTGGGCCTTTGGCCTGACCCAACAGCCATTTTCTTGTTATGTTCTTGTATTAATGGCCAAGACTTGTTTAAGGTCATATCTAGTTGCTCCTTCTGTCTTGTCTCTCCTTCCCCACTTTTTTGTTACTGGGCTAAGGGTTATTACCACACACAGTGGGTAGTACTGGGCAGATGTGGCGATGAGTTGCCCTCCAGATGTTGTTGGACTTATCAGCCCCAATCAGTTGAACCAATGGACTATGGGAGTTGGAGTCCATCAAATCTGGAGGACACCTTCCTGATGCTATCCCTCTTTTCTTATATTGCCTTCAGCTCTCTGAGAAACTAGTATCATCACAGAGGTCTTTCTAGCAGGGCTTCAGGGACCCCAGGAGAAAACATGATGGAGTAGATAAAGTGGGCACCATGTCGTTGACTCCACTGCCGTCATGCTTTATAGAATGCCTCTCCCCTCCCGTTCAACCTCTGTCTCTCCACAAAGCCATGATTGCAGTATTATTCCCAAACCCAATCCAATCAGTGCATCAAATGGGGCATCATTAACCTCATCTCCAGGGCTTATTTTGCTCATAAGATCCATGCAAATGCATTTGGGATGATGGAAGTGCCTCTCCTAGGCTTTTTACAGCACCCGTGGTTAAGATGCAGTGAAGAACATCAAGAAAAATGAGGTGACCCTTTGAGTGACACTTCATTAGGATTTCCTGGCAGGGGGAGTTTGCAGAAATCAGTAATGTATGGAAATGAACTGTAATAAGTTTATAGCAATAAACATACTAGTTTTGAAACCAACGAAACTTCAGCTAGCCATGAGTCACTAGCTCCACTGACTTCCATAGGGCAGCCTTCCTTAACCCTTCAGATGGTTTGGACCTCTGTGGAATCACAACTATTCAGTTTTCCATATTTCACTCGGAACATGATATTCAAAATGATGGGGGGATGAAGGTATGGTGAAAGAAGGAAAAATATGCATATCAGAAGTTTAGGTGAAGTGGCATCAATGAGGGAATAAGGAAGGAGCATTATGGGATGCAACAGCAGCACCCCTTGAGGACTCAAAGCCTGCCCATTTTTCAGATTTTAGCCATGATGAGGAATAGGGGAGGAATCCAAGGTGAATCTGGCTGTCAGCCCAAAATGAAGGCTTAGCAACCATTGCTCTACGAGGTATCAGATTCCGCAGTTTTCAGCTTGCATCGATTGCTGGATGCTGGTGATTTCCAGAGGCTTAGCACAAGGGACACAGAGCCCATCATTGTTATCAAGTAGGCCCTGAGAGGGGTTTCTGTGTCCTCTTCCTTGCCTCCTCTTCCAGAGCTGGAGGAGGTGGAAAGGGGAGGGTTGGAAGAGGAGAGGGGGGATTATTTGGTGGAGGTGGTTTGAAAACTGCCTCACGCTCTCATCGTTTCATTAGCGGTGGTAGGAGCATTTCATGGGCAATTAGTGCTAAGCACTAATGGAGGCAGCAGCAGCAGGTAGAAGAAGTCTCTCTGGACTGGCCGTTTTGCAAAGTGAATTTAGCTGAGTGGGAGGTGTTGGATTGACAGGCTTGGACTTCATAGACTGGAGGAAGGGAGAGAATCTTTACCATGGCCTTCCCCAACCTGGTCCCCTGCTGTCACCATGCTGTCAGGCACAGAATGTCCAGAGTGACAAATTAACTCTTCACTTACAAGTTAAGGGAAGGTGTGTTCTGCTGTCCTGCATCTCCCAGGTACTCCCAGGTGTGCACCTGATGAAGCAGTTGCCACAACAGAGAGGCGCTGCCCCTGACCCTGGCTTACATATCTCCTCTATCTGAGCTTTGTGCAAGCAGGCAAAGACTTCATCTGCTCCTCCCACTTCAATCCTCCTCTGGTCCTGGGAGGCAGCAAAGCAGGAGAGATGGAGAAAGGAGGAGGTGGTGGTGTGGAAGTCCTTGACTACACACCTGCCTGACCTATCTCTCCTTTCTCCTGCCCCTGTTCTCCACTCTAGGGATGCAGGTGGCACTGTGGTCTAAACCAGTGAGCCTCTTGGGCTTGCCGATCAGAAGGTCGGTGGTTCGAATCCCCGCGACAGGGTGAGCTCCCATTGCTCTGTCCCAGCTCCTGCCAACCTAGCAGTTCAAAAGCATACCAGTGCAAGTAGATAAATAGGTACCACTGCGGTGGGAAGGTAAATGGCGTTTCCATGAGCTCTGGTTTCTGTCACGGTGTTCTGTTGCGCCAGAAGCAGTTTAGTCATGCTGGCCACATCACCCAGAAAGCTGTCTGTGGACAAATGTCGGCTCCCTCGGCCTGAAGAGAGATGAGAGCCGCAACCCCATAGTCTCCTTTGACTAGACTTAACCATCCAGGGGTCCTTTTCCTTTACCTCTTCACTCTCCAATGCCACAGCTTCTCCTGCCTCTGCCTCTTGTCTCCTGGCTGTTACAGGTTCTCCCAAGAGACGCCTTCTATGTCAGTCTCCAACCCTGCTTCTCCTGGTGACTACTCCTTAGTATCCAGTAGGTGCCTGTCATCAGCAGATGCTTCAGACAACAGCCAGCAGCTGTAATCCAAAGCAGCAGGAGAACATCAGGTTGGCTTAGAATTTAGTTCCTCTCTATCCAATAGCTTCTGGCGGATTCACCCCACCAACACGGGTGACCTCCCCACGATCCCACTTCTTCAGGAGGTGAGCTGTGGGGGCTACGGCAAGTTCTTCTGATTATCCAAGAAGCCCTCTGCTTCCTAATGCTCACCTTTCAACCTCTTTTTTTAAAAATAATTTTTATTAAGGTTTTCAAGATATTACAAAAAGAAAAAATAAAAAGAAAAAATACAAAATAAAAACAGTTAAAAACAATTCAATCTTTCCATGTCTTATCTTTCATTTGCCTGTTCCCCGGACCTCCTCACACCTCCCTTTTTTGTATCCAGTTCAATTAGTTGGTTCAGCAAATCCTTTCCATTATCACCTGTTAACAATCCATTTTTGCACATCTTTTTAACATTACTGCTAAAAACCACTTAACTTCAATCCAACATCATTCTAACATTCATTAATTTTGCAGTATTTTTGTAAATAGTCTTTAAATTTCTTCCAATCTTCTTCCACCGACTCTTCTCCCTGGTCTCGGATTCTGCCGGTCATTTCCGCCAGTTCCATATAGTCCATCACCTTCATCTGCCATTCTTCCAGGGTGGGTAGATCTTGCGTCTTCCAATGCTTTGCGATAAGTATTCTCACCTTTCAACCTCATTCTGCTTCTCCCTGACATATTTCTCTGCTGCTTCTGGTGGCTGGTGGTGACTCAAGTAGTGACTATTATAGTTCTGGATATGAGTTGCATCTATGGCTACTAGGCATGGTGCCTTTGCCCTGTCTCCATGGTTGGAGACAATAATACTTCTGAATACCACAGGAGGGAGGTTGCTCTTGTGCTCAGCTTCTGCTTAAGGGCTTCCCACAAGTACCTGGTTGGCCACAGTGAAAATTTGATGCTGGTCTAGATAGGCCATTGGCCTGATCCAGAAAGATCTTACATCCCTATGTCTGTAACTGATGGGATTTGACACCTTGGAGGGCATCAGGTTGGTGAAGGCTGCTCTACAGCATTTTAAAATAAAAGTAAAACATGAATTAAATGCCCCCAATGCTGGCTCTGCTGCAGTTGATAATTAAACAATGAAATACAGTAGAATCCCTTACTACAATCCCACGGCCATTCGAATCCCTGCTTTGCCCCCCAGGCACGTGATTTATTAGCCTTGTTCACTTTTATTATTAAGGACGTGGATGCGACTTGGGAAAGTTTTCTTATCGCTATAATAAATTCCAATTTCCAAAGAGCCGTGGAAATAAATTTGGAAGCCATTACACACTTCTTTTCTCAGCTAGGCTCCCTCGTAAAAGCCTAAGAAAGTGGGAGATATGGCAGGCGGAAGAAATGGAAACGACAAAAAGCAGGGGTCAGCTCAATCTCGATCGTGCAGAAAGGCGCTTGAGGGGGCAATCCAGCATCCTGGATCTTTCCAGCAATTGCTAATAGCAAAGGCCATGAAACAGAGGAGTTGCATCCTTGCAAGAGTTTCAGCGGGGGGGGGGGGACCATGTCAAAATATATCAACATTAAGAGAGGAAAAGAATTATATTAAACTTTGTAAGTTCTGGTCATGTTACAATAGTCATGTGATGTAGGGAGAGAGGGAGAGAGAGAGAGCACTCCTTTAGTCACACTGGGCTTCTGATGCAATGAACCCTCCTCTCCTATAGGGAGTGCACACTCTCCCCATTGTCTGTCTCCCATAAAAGTTAAAGCCCCCCCCCCCAGGGTAGCCTCTTCTAGTCCTGGAAAAAATGCTTTTAAAATTAAGGCAACTTTTGTGGGTCATAATTATCTGGGGAGAGGGGATGGCGGATTTTTGCCTCCAGTTATGTAATTGATTTAGGGACGTGGGTGGCGCTGTGGGTAAAAGCCTCAGCGCCTAGGGCTTGCCAATCGAAAGGTCGGCGGTTCGAATCCCCACGGCGGGGTGCGCTCCCATTGCTCGGTCCCAGCGCCTGCCAACCTAGCAGTTCGAAAGCACCCCTGGGTGCAAGTAGATAAATAGGAACCGCTTACTGGCGGGAAGGTAAACGGCGTTTCCATGTGCTGCGCTGGCTCGCCAGATGCAGCTTTGTCACGCTGGCCACGTGACCCGGAAGTGTCTCCGGACAGCGCTGGCCCCCGGCCTCTTAAGTGAGATGGACGCACAACCCTAGAGTCTGTCAAGACTGGCCCGTACCTTTACTTTTACCTTTATGTAATTGATTTAAGAGATGCCTTTGACTGAACCCACGATAGTGAAGCAGAACCTCCACATCCAGAAGCACTATACCTGTGAATTGCCAATTAAAGTGGATCAAAAAGCTGGGGAGGGCTGTTAACTTTCATGTATAGCTCAGTTGGTTGGAATGTGGTGTTGATAATGCCAAGGTTGCAGGTTTGTCCCTGTATGGGACAGCTGCATAGTCCTGCATTGCAGGGGGTTGGACTAGATGACCCTCAGGGTCCCTTCCAACTCTATGATTCTATGTCTGCTGTGGCGTCTCTATGAACATCCGGCTGGTTACTGTCATACCAGGACATTGGACCAGATGGAACTTCGATCTGTCCTAGCATGACTCTTGTTATGTTCACCCATTAGAGTCAGAGGAAGTTGTACACTTTCAAGAGTGTACACAAGAGCTTTAATTCAATAAATGATATCAACAGCATCACTGTTCCCCATGTTCCTTTCTCCCTTACAGCTTCCATTTTTGAGCACATTCTCTACTTTTCCTGACTTGTTCAATATTTTTGCAAATGAAATTCTGGCTTCCGTTTCTTGGCTCCCAAGCTCTAAGTGGAAGAACAAGAGCTGGAAAATGATAAACAGAAGCTATGACTCTGCTCACTGACACCATGCCAGTGCAGGATAAATTTGATTCAGTTCTTGTTCAAAGGCAAACCTACCAATTTTTTTGCACTTTTCAAAACTGTGCACAAACTGAAGCAGAGCCCGCTTTCAAAATTTGCAGTTTTCCAGCCAAGCACTATGTTCAGAGATGTATGTACTAGGATAAAGTGTGCATAAAAATGCATATATTGCTGAAAACAAATGACAAAAATGCATTGTGTTATGGAAAATTGTTTGCAAAAATATGTGTGTTAGTCAAAACCATACACATACAATTAGGAGAAATTTGCTGATGAACTTTCATGAGGATTAAGCCCCCCCCCA